AGAGAGAGAGAGAGAGAGAGAGAGAGAGAGAGAGAGAGAGAGAGAAAAGAAAGTGCTCTTAGCTCCGGCCCCCTCCACCTTGATCTCCACACCCAAGGCACGCGATGAGTCAGATCCCTGGAAAATAAAAATAGATGAGGGCGAGGACAACAAAAACCGCTCGAGTGTCCTCGCTGAAACGCGATGTGGAGGAATGGGAAGAGAGGAAGCTGCCAGCGCGCCCCCCAATGCCAAACCCAAGCCCGAGTCTTTACCGCAGGACCAGGGCAAGTGTGGCCCTGGTCCCCATGGGCTCCAAGTAGGGTGGATGCGCCCGGCCCAGTCACCTTCCTACACCGGGTGTGGACTGGGTCGGGGTGCCCCCCAGGTCCCGGGGCGTCTGATATTATAAGGCATCACGTAAGCCTCTCTCCGCGGGGATCCCCGCGGCTCTGCAGTGCGGGCTCCTCTCGCGCCTCAGGAGCCCCGCGGCCACTGGTCCCCGTCGTGGTGGGCGCGGTGGGTGGGACCCTTTGCGCTTCCCGGACTGGCAGTGTAGACGGGGCCCGCCCAAGCTCCCTGTCCCCGAGGGCGCGCCACCGATCGGGGACCGGACACCGCGTCCAGGACCTCCCCGTGTCCCGGGTTCCCTAGGAACATACTGTGCCCGCCAAATAGGTCACTGTGCCGCGCGGGGGAGGGGACAGGGGCGGGGACCAGGCTGTGCCCGGGCAGGGAAGGGGGCTTCTGGGCTGCCACTGATCCATCCCCAGCTGGGGTGCGGTTCTGATCTCAATCCGGTGCCCGGGGTCTCCTTGTCACAATGAGTCACCTCCTCGCCTGTCCTCCAGGACGTGCCCAGGCACGTTCCCGAGGGCGGAGGACACAGCCCGCGCTGACCTCAGCGCCCAGCCGGGTAGTGGCTACGGCGGAGCAAGACACCTGGACCACACCGACCCGGGACCGGGCGGCACCCGTGGGATCGGAGAACCGCTCTGCGCCGGACCCCAGAGGCACTCCCCGCAGCTTGTCCCCGCCGCCCCGGGCCTCTCTCGGGACATCGGCTTCGTTCTCACGCCTTTGGCGAGCCACACACCGGCAGCAAGAAGCGAGCTCCGAGGAGCAGGTCCCCGTCTGCCATGGCCCGGGTCCTGGAATTCGGATTCTGTATGCCGTGTTTGCGACACAGTCTGACCCTCGACACACTCCAATATACCAAGCCGGTGACCACCACGGACGCGCTCAGACCCACACCCGTCATCCACCTGCCGCGAACACACCTGTGAATCTGGCGGGCACACACAGACACACAGACCAGTGGCACACCCATCGCCGCATACAACCGCACACAAACACTTCTAGGGACCTGTGGGGCTCAGCGCAGAGCTGTCCCCGGGGAACCACTGCTCCCTGCCGCGACGCCCTCACCTCCGAATGTCTCGATATCGCGGTGGATCTGCGCCTGGCTCCGATCCTCCTCTCTCGACTGTGACAGCGGCGGCTCACACCTCTCGGCTGGTGCGCTTGGCTTCGCGCAGCCTTCTTATAGCATCGGTCCGGCCCCGCCCCGGCCCGCCTCGGAGGCAGGACCAGCCGCTGCTCCCACATCCCCGGGACGCGCTGGCCCGCCCTCCCCTCCGGGAATCGGAGCCCGCGCCTGACTAGGCTCCAGACAGCCCGAACCCCGCGCGCGCGCGCGGCAAGAGGGCGCGCCCTCCCCTCCCCCCACACCTGGCTGTTTGCTGGTCACGTACCCCAACCAGCATCTATGAACAGCACTACTGTTACGGCTGAGCGTTTACGCGTCTGCCCCTGACCAACTCTGGGAAGGATTTAGATGATGTTAGTAAATAAAAACCTGGGACTGGGGAGGTGGGTCAGTAGGTAGTGCTTGCCTGGCTTGCTGGAAGCCCTAGCTAGGTTGGACCCCCAGTACCCCGAAAATAAGAGTGAGGGTCCACGTCTGTAATTACAGCTCTGGGGAGGTGGACAGGAGGATCAGGAGTTCAAGGTCATTGTTGACAGCTACTTAACCAGACGGAGAGCAGCCTGAGATGACACTCTGTTTCATAGATAGATAGATAGATAGATAGATAGATAGATAGATAGATAGATAGATAGATAGATAGATAGATAGATAGATACGTACATACATACATACATGGATAGATACATAGATACATAGATACAAAGATACATAAATAGATAAATGTCCAAGCTGAGTGTGATGGCAAAGGACTGGAATCCCAGCACTTGGGAGACTGAGGCAGGAAGAGCGTGATAGGTTCAAGGCCAGCCTGGGCTATACAGTGAGACCTTCTCGAAACAACAAAATGGATGAATGATAAAAATGATGAGACTTTCTTTGAAATTCCCAGGAATCCCCCTATTCCTGGAGATCTTCCCTCAGTGGGCCCCCTTTTCCAGAAGCACCTGAGGCACCCAGACACCCCAACAGAGCATCTTTGGGCTCCGAACCCGATCTTATCCTCTCAGAGATGAGGAAAAGCGGGCCCACAGAAGTAAAGGATGCCAAGCTTTTGATGTCAACTGCCTCAGAAAGGGAGGAAATTGAGTTCAGTTCTCAGAAAGAGGCAATGGTTACCAGGGAAAACAGCGGCTCTCCCTCCCTCCCTCGCCTCTGCAGAAGGCAGTGTGTGAACATTCTTTCTTCACACAGCCAACACATACCACAACGGGGAAACTAAGGCTCAGAGAGGCCCAAGACCTGATTCAGACCACACAGCCAAGAAATGGCTCCTGCTTGGTCTCTGGGGTGCTGTCCAGAGCTCTCTGCTTTCTGCCGTCTATTTCTGGGTCCAAGATGAGGAAAATGCCCAATACCCCTCAGTTCCAGACAGTTCGCAGAGACGACATCGATGAAGCACAATTCTAGAAAGATCTTCAATGCTCCTGATAGACCAGAAGTGAGTGTTATCAGTTCCCAACCCCCCCCCCCCCGTTTTATTTTGCTTCCTAATCAGTTTTATTTTACTCTGTTTGGGGCTTCTGAGACAGTGTCTTGCTACGTAGCCCAAGGTGGCCTGAAACCCAAGGCAATTCTCCTGCCTTAACCTCCTTCCTGAGAACTGAGGCTATACGTCTGAGCCACCCTACCCAGCTGTTGGGGGTTTTCTTCAGACAGTCTTATTATGTGGTCCAGCCTGGCCACAGGGGCTGTTTAGCAAGACCCCCATCTCAGCCGGCCATGGTGATACATGTCTGTAATCCCAGCACTTGAGAGACAGGGAGATTTGGAGCTCAAAGGCCAGCCTGCAAAACGTGAGACCCCCACCTCAATCAATCAGATAGAGCTGGAGATGTAGCTCAGTTGGTAGAGTCCGATCCCCAGTACATGGTGGCATGAGTCTGTAATCCAAGCCAAGGAGGTTCAGGAGGATCAGTAATTCATCAGGGCCATCCAACATAGCAAGTCTGAGGCTGGCCTTGGTTACAAGAGACCCTGCCTTAAAAAAAAACAAAAGCCAGACCCCTCTCTCAAAACAAATGAACAGAAACAAAAAATTCTAATGCAGAGAACAGAGCTTTAATCTCCACAGAAATCTCAGTTAAAAGAGTAGAATGCTGCTTTGGAGTAACTGTGTGCTCCCACATCTGCTCCTGGATGCTGGAGATCACTGCCCAGACATGCCCCGTCTTCCTCTTCTGATTTAGCTGACCTAAGGAGGACAGGCCTCCTCCTCTGTGGTGGGGGTTGGAAGTCTGAGAAGGGCATGAGGCACCCTTCCCACCCCCTGGACAGCCTGGCTCTGGATAGAAGCCAGGATTAGAATCGGTCCTCAGGACCACTGCCACAAACACCCCAGCTCCTGAACCATCCCCTTCCTGTACCCAGGTCGTCCCAGAGCTGGGCTGTCATGGGCCAGCACAGGACATCCAACTGCTCAAATCCCTTTGGCCTCCCGGGCATTTCAGATAGACGTGACATTGTCTGTCTGTTTACTTTGGGAGAAAACAGTTTTAATAAAGGCTTGTAGTGAATTGCTGAGCGCTGTGACCTCCTGTGCCTTTGTCCTGTTGACGTTGGGGAGATTTTTAAAATAACTTCTGGCTTCCCGGAGGAGCACCACAAAAGTACTCAACAAATATTTATTAAGTCTAGGAGTGCTCGGGCTTTCTAACAAACAGGCTTAGCCTTGCACTTGAATGTATAGTCAGGCACACGGTTGGAGGACCCCTTCATCCCCTAAAAGGACAAAGGGGCAAAGTCACATGCACAGAACCCGACCCCCGGGCACACACAGACACATGCACAAAAAGCATTCTTCACCCGATACATGCCACGAGATACATGCCATCTTCTAGTCTGCTGCCAGGAACTCAGGCTTGCAGGGCGGGGCATCCCCAGGCTATCTGGGGTCTCTGTCTCCTTCCATGTCCTTCCTCAGCCCACAGTAGGTGGTGTGTGCCATCCATGTCCCCACCTCCCTGCGTGAAGCAGCCCCACCTCTCCAGATCCAGGGCTGGACATGTCAAGACATGTTCCTGAAGGCCAGAAAGCTAGTCCCGACCCACCACAGCCTGCTGCTCAGATTTGTTGCCGGTCTCAGGGAGAGGACAGCCAGGGATACAACCTTGCAGGACCCTCTGGGACTCGTAGAAAGGAAACGTGAGGCTAAGGCTGAGAGAGGATGTAAGGAAGGTTTCATGTTAGCTTCTGCAGCTACTCAGGGAGAGAGAGGAAGTGGGGGACCATATCACCATTTCTCAGAAAAGGAATGGGGAGTCCCAAACAGGGACAGTCAGATTTCAGAAGAATTCACCTCCACACAGACTCCCAAGAAGTGCGACCCCAAAACAAAAACATTACAGAAAGTAGCCAAAGAGCCAGTGTCCAAGCAAAGCGTATTCGATCCCTGGAAACCCCGAGGCAGAGCTGATGGCCAGACATGGCCAGTCTCCGACAACTGGAGTTCTGTCGTCAGAAATTTATTCCACTGGGGCTCGGTTGCTAAAGCTGCTTGCTTTGCAAGGGTGGAACCTGAGTTCAATCCCCAGCACCCACAGGAAAGGGGTCAGGCCTGGTCACATGCTCTTGTAATCCCAGCACCGAGGAGCTGGAGGCAGGAGGATTGCTGGGACTCCCTGGCTAGCTGCCTAGTCTTGTCAGTGAGCTCCAGGCTAATATCAGACTCTCAAAAACCAAGATGGCGGGCAGGCTGGCCAGCAGGATGGTTCTGTGAATGTCTTAGGATGTCTGTTGATGTGAGAAAACGTCGACCAAAAGCAACTTGGAGAAGAAAGGGTGTGTTTTTGTCTCACACTTCCAGGTCACAGACCATCCCTGAGGGAAGGAACGGGGCAGGAACCTGGAGGCAGGAGCTGTAGCGGGGACACTGGAGGAACGCTGATGATTGGCTTGCTCTCGCAGCTCACTCAGCTTGTTTCTTTATATAACTCAGGATCACTTGTCAGGGGTGGCACCACCCACAGTGAGCTGTGCCCTCCCACATCAATCATTAACCAAGAACAAAATGCCCCACAGACTTGCCTTGAGACCAGCCTGTCAGAGGCTGTTCCTCAGCTGAGGCTCCTTCATCCCAGGCGACTCCACTTTGTGTCAAGATGACCAAACAAACAAACAACCCGATCACAGGTTACTTCTCAGTTGTTTATCCCAAATAAGTCGTGGGACGCTCTGCTCCACTGGGGGACACTGCTCCATATGGTCTTTCGGAGATCCAGGCTTCAGGCCGACCGCAGCTCTACCATGCTGTAGTGACACCATCAGACTGTGCGTCCTTGCTTTTGCCCTAACTGTGGAGGACAAGAAAGCTGGAGGCTGGTTTCATTGGTGGGAGTCAGTCATGTGATCTTGTCTAATCTGCAGTGGGAGGGCATTGTTGTCTAGGCCATGCGTGGTACAATGATGGCTTTGTTTATTTGTTTACTTTTGATTTTCTGAGACAAGGTTTCTCTGTGTAGCCTTGGCTGTCCTGGAACTCACTCTGTAGCCCAGGCTGGCCTCGAACTCAGAGTTTTGCCTGCCTCTGCCTCCCAAGTGCTGGGATTACAGGTACGCACCACCACTGCCCAGCCAATGATTGCTTTAAATAGTTACACATAAGAGCCCATTGCAGAATGGGAAAGACGGACTGACAGTACTTTCTAGTCTAAGCAGTAAAAGCCTACGGTATTATTTCTGTAAACAAATGAATCGATGTATGAGTAAATGAACAGGAGTGTGCAGAGGCCTTGAAGCTAAGAGTGGGCTGCCCATAAACATTCATGGGCTTCTGATGGAGGATGCTAGGTCTCACAGGTACAAAGATGAATAAAACATGGATCTCTTCATGGGGCTTGCTTCCAGCGTGCAGCAGCAGGAACGGGGGGGGGGGGGAGGCAGGACAATACAGCCCAGTGACAGGCTTGCTCTCTAGCAGACCAGGGAGCAAGGGGGAACTCTATGGAGGCCCCACCTCAGAAGGGGGTGCAGGCTAGTTTGAATGAGAATGGGCCCCATAGGTTCATATGTTTGAATTCTTGGTCCTCAGTTGGAGGAACTGTTTGGGAAGGATTAGGAGGTGTGGCCTTATTGGAGGAGGTATCTACTGTGTGCCAGC